GGGACCTTGCAGTTGTGTCCGTTGCTCATTCCACAGGCATGGAGCTGGAAGCTGCAACATGGCACAAGCACAGTTGTGTAATACGGGAACCCCACGGTGGATAGATCTGGACCTTGATGATGACAGACGCTATCATCATCGGCGGCAGCGGGTATCCTGAGGCCTCCTTGTTAGGCTTGGCGGTTATCTGAAACAGCTTCTGGAAGTCTCAGATGCTTCGACATCAAACAGCTATGATGTCGACGTGCCGAGCTACTACGGATATCTCCTTCCTCATCGGATCCCAAGAAATGCCGGTGCCGACGAGTAGCGCGTAAAGCGCAACGATAAGACAGTCAAGAGTCTTGGACCCAGATGATTGAAAGTGTAAGAATAGGACGGTTGGTGGTGGTCGAGTTGGGGGAGCAGCCGGGAACCAATAGGTTCGGAGAGGACGGTCCCGCATGGTGAGGCTGGTCTCATAATGGGTCTGCTAAGTATAGCCGTTGCAGATGTGGAACTAGGCCCCTGCAACTAGCCGGTTTCAGCCATGGCCCTACAGCATCCGAGCCTTGAGCTTCAGTGATGAGGAGGATGACAGGCAGCCGCCCTGCAGCAAGAGAGGTGACTGCGGTGATGGGAAAGGTAGTGAGGGAGGCCTGACATTGGGTAGATGCAGGGCTGGCAAAAAGCAAATATGCAGAAGGCCGTCTTAGCACATTGCACGAGGTGATGCAAGAATGGTAGCTTCTACTGGCGAAACAATTCTGGAATGTTTAAGCTGATTCTCGTGCATATAGCAGAAATCACAGGATGTGACTCGCGCAGCTCACACAATGGCTGGATCATGTCGGCGGTTAGCTCAAAGTATGGCGGGCGGCCGTCGCGGACACCAAACGAGGGCTGCAACCTCCCGTGAGGTATATTTGCACTCTATAGTCGGCGCGTACTGCTGGTCTTTCCAAGTTGTGAATCTCACGCGCACTTTCTCTTTGCCTTGTGTAGTGTTGAATTCGATTGTACCTGAGTCCAGCTGGTTGACCCCGCCATCCCACTTGGAAAGCGCGACACGGCCGCCCGCAGCAGCAACAAACACGCCATCGCCCCTCTCGAGTGTTTTACACGATCCCCTCCCGTGTGAAGACGCATCCTTCACGCACACGCGGTCGGAAAGCCACACGCTACGGTACATGGCCACGTTCCTCCTGCCCGCTACCCGCTACCTGCTACCACGCTGAGATCGCATCTGGGACTGACTTGGCAATACAACAGACCCTGCCCCCACCTTATCCGTCTCCTTTCTGTCACCGCCTCACTCCCTCTCCACCTTGCGCGGGCATCACCCCAGCATACTCGAGAAGCTCCGAAGCGCAGCCGCACCAGCTCCAATCGGTTGGTCAACGACATCTCTCGGTAACCAGCGTCATTAAACGGCTAAAGACGAGCGACATCTCCCAGGCACCACCAAAGTGCACGCACGACCTGTCGGCTCTGGTGACCGGACGGACCTCGATCCTCAAACGACCCCAATCCTTTGGTATGTCAAATTAGATAGATGAATACGCGGGCGGCGACGAATACAGAATAGCTCTTCTTTGTGCTCTGTCGTGGTCGCTGCCGCCATGAACACCTTCTGCGGCTCAAAGGCCAGCACGTGGGGCTGGCTCAGTGTCTGACACAGTGCCGTTTCACCAACGCGCGCAAGACACGCTTGCTGTTCTGCGAACAATGCTTGCCATATAGCCTTTCCGAGCTTGAGCTGACAAGCACGCTCTTAGATCCCGCCTTCACCACCGCATACGCATCCTCATCCAGCTTCCTCCTTCGCTTTTCAATTGTCCACCGTCAAACAATCACGACCCCGCAATCACTGAGCACCAGCTCAATCGACCTAGTCCGCCGCGCATCAGCGCATACCCACCACCACCACAACCGCCAACATGCCACCAGCGGGGAGCGGTAGCTCTAGAAAGATCTCTTTCAATGTCTCAGAGCAATACGATATTCAGGATGTCGTAGGAGAAGGCGCGTATGGTGTTGTCTGGTAGGTCCCACTTCTCAGTGCCACCCAGACTGCTGCTAACCATAATCCAGCTCCGCATTGCACAAGCCGTCCGGCCAGAAGGTCGCCATCAAGAAGATTACGCCCTTTGACCACTCCATGTTCTGTCTGAGAACACTACGAGAGATGAAGCTACTCCGGTACTTCAACCACGAGAACATCATCTCCATTCTCGACATCCAGAAGCCTCGGAACTACGAGACCTTCACCGAAGTTTACCTAATCCAGGTGTGTAGCCCGCGAATCTCACAGCATTCAACCGTGGCTAACACAGCACGTAGGAACTCATGGAGACCGACATGCACCGCGTCATTCGTACACAAGAGCTTTCAGACGACCATTGCCAGTACTTCATCTACCAGACCCTGCGCGCGCTGAAGGCGATGCACTCAGCAAACGTCCTCCATCGCGATCTTAAGCCCTCCAATCTGCTCCTCAACGCCAACTGCGATCTGAAGGTCTGCGATTTCGGTCTTGCCCGCTCAGCCGCCTCAACCGAGGACAACTCAGGTTTCATGACGGAATACGTTGCGACGCGTTGGTACCGTGCGCCCGAGATTATGCTTACGTTCAAGGAGTACACAAAGGCCATTGATGTATGGAGTGTAGGATGCATTCTGGCTGAGATGCTTAGCGGAAAGCCTCTGTTCCCAGGAAAGGACTGTAAGTATTGCGCACATAGGATGTGCCAGGAGCTCTTTGCTAACTGTAGTCAGACCACCACCAACTCACGCTGATTCTCGATGTGCTCGGTACGCCTACCATGGAGGATTACTACGGCATCAAGTCCCGCCGAGCTCGCGAATACATTCGGTCGCTGCCATTCAAGAAGAAGATTCCGTGGAAGGCCATGTTCCCTAAGACCAACGATCTGGCGCTTGACCTGCTCGAGCGGTTACTCGCTTTCAACCCTGTCAAGCGAATCACAGTCGAGGAAGCGCTCAAGCACCCATACCTTGAGCCGTACCATGACCCAGATGACGAGCCGACGGCCGACCCTATCCCAGAGGAGTTCTTCGATTTTGACAAGAACAAGGACAATCTGACCAAGGAGCAGCTCAAACGTACGTCATCATCTTGCTCTTGTGTTGAATCTCTGCTAACATTCAGAAGTCCTCATCTACCAGGAGATTATGCGGTAAACTTTCACGTTTCCCCCCAAAGTGCGAGATATACACAAGATACCACCATCGAGTCGATTTCTGGAACTTGTCCACAGCTAGCTGGTCTGAGCTCACTACCATATTCGAGGAAGGTCTACAATCATCCTGTAATTTGGATTCTCAGCAGAAGAAATAATGTTAGCAATGACAGCATGGAAGATATGGGGAGATGCGCTTCAAATCGCGCTCCGTACAGAAAGAAATCTCCTACACCCACAGTACTTATGATAGGAAAAGACAGGAATGCATTGCTTCTTTGCAATTTTCACATTGACCTTTCAACTGCGACGAAGTAAGCGCTCTCTATGGGATATGCTACATCTTTAGTGCCCAATCCATGCTTTGAATGTTCTCTTCCTCTTTACTACCCCTTCCACGATGAGGCCCGTCCCAGATCACATCTCCAAAGTTCTTTGCGTGCACTTCAGCATCCGTGGGTCGTGTCCAATCATACATGACCGATTCACTTCTACTTCCTCTCCAGGATGCATGCGCACTACCCGTACTACCTCCACCATGATCCCTGCTCACGGTACTGAATCCACCGGCAGCTCGGGAATCGCCTGTGTGACCCCTGACTCCCGGCTCTAGCACAGTGTCCAAAATAGACGATCGCCGTGTAGGACTCGTTGTGGATCCTCGTCGAGCGACCTCATTCCACCATCGCTTATCGTATGCATCTTGCGAGAGCGAGGAGCTGCGCCGTCGAGCTGATGTGTGATAAAGAGGATTATGAAGAGGAAGAGGATCGAAGGAGCCGCGTTGAGATTGCCGACGAGAATGCGTAGGAGAAGGTCTTTCAGTAGACGTCAGAGGGAAAGTGTTTTGATGAAGAGCAAAAGCATTTGGCCCTAACATTGAAGTCCTAGAACCTTGTATCCGCCATTGAGATAACCCGGGCCATTTCCTCTTCTCCCTATTTCCCTGCACGTTCTCTGTTCCTGAACTACTTCTCGATGAGGATGTAGCAACAGAACCTTTTCTCAGTAAGACTGATTTTAACTTGAATAAGCTCCCTGATCTAACTCTGCCAATCTCCTCACCACAAGAATGGCATTGTCTATTCCATGTAACCCTCTCCATTGTTGGATCGAAACGACCTTGTCCGCATCGCGACTGCTGCTCTAAGTCTGCTTGTCGCTTGTGCGTATAGTGGAGGCGCAGGTACCATGCGATGGCTACAAGGACCAGGAAGAGGATAATTGACAATGCGATGACAGAGTTGCGGTCGATGTGCGTATTCGCGTCTTCCGGAGAAGACGAGGAGTCGGCTTTGTGCTTGCTCGCCATCAGTAAGATGGTGGCAGTAACGGCCATGTCCCGCTGTTGCTGCTGTTGTAGTGTTTGGCTGAGATGGTTGATATATATGAATTGAGTTGCGATGAGGATGCGCACATGGGTATCACAAAGGACATTAGTAGATGCACAGCTTCTAAAATACAGACTCCGGATAGTCGCGTGTGCATCATTACACATTGTGAGATCATAGTCTGTGATGGTACCACACCGCATTGTGTTCGAGACTTTGGGGGTTTGGTACCGAACCAGCTCGGGAGGTGGGGGAAGCATGTGTCGCATAGGAAGCCACGAAGAAAGACCCGGGCTACATAATGAGGGTAGCTTGTTGCGGGCCATGTAGAGATGGTTGAGTTGTTGTAACCTTGGAACGCCGCCCAATGCCAGTATCTAGTCCGTGTTCGTACAGAGTGGTGTCCTTCACTATGAATGACCCCACCACCCATGCTCTTCATATACACATAATCATACATCAACACGTATCCATGTGTCCTTGACGTCTAGAAGTCACATCTCCCATCTTTCCATCCCGTTCTCCATCGCTCTTCCCACCTCTTGCAGTCAAACTGCTCTTTCCCCAGCTTCTCGTTTACAGCATTGTGTGCCTCGCACATCCACTCTCCGAACTCGTTTCGGCTGCTCACTCTTGGCGTGTTCTTTTGCATCCACTTCTGGAAATCTTCTGCGCACACCCAGCACGGGTAGAGTTTGCCAAACGTGGTAAGAAAGGACTTGGTTTCGGACTGTAGTTGTGGTGATGGATTCGCTGGGTAGGCGCCAGTTATGGAGTGTAATAGAGTCCAAGATGAGCGACCGAGAGCCTCAACGTCGGGAGGGCAATCTGCGGGCAGGGAAGGTGCGGTCTCGGCGGTGGTCGGAGTGACAGCAGCAGGAGTGCGTTTTGTGGGCAGCTTGCCTGCAAAGGCAAAGAGAGAGGTTACATCGTTACAGGTTCGGCATCTATAAAGTGAACACAGATGTTAGCGTACGCTTTCTCTACAACATTGGCCGTTGTACTGTGTGCATGTCTTCCGGCGCATTCCAGAGTCCACGGTACTTACGGCTTGCCATCTGGACCGAGTATAATGCCATTCGCCAGCTTCTTGTACCCGGGCCTTCCCGCTATGTCCTGCCCTTCGTCGGTCTGCGTCGAATCTTGCGCCATGTTTTACTGCCTCGAAAACGCTATCGTGGTCGCGGTATGTTGCGTTGCTCAAGTGGTGATTTCTAAGCTACACGAAGATCGGACCTCGGAGGTAGGCAGCTTCCCAGGGTCAACCATGTCATGTATTGTCGCGCTTTCGCCGTAACAGCGATACATCTGTGGGTAATTCATCGCCATCGGGGTTGGTGAATTTCGTGCATCCGCGATTTCGTAGTGCGTCTCGCGACATGTTGTTGCTCTCCAATTGCTCTTGGCGCGTTGTTAAGAAGGACATGGTGGACGTGCAGTGGAGGATGTTAATGAACGACAGCTCCTGAACATCACAAACGGACCCCTTCAACAAACATATCGGTTATCGCGTGTCTATCATGGATGTACCAGTAGCCGCGAACGTACTCGGTACACTCGGCGCAGTATGCATATCCTGGACTTTTGAAGCGGTTGTGTTAACAAGAACAGGTGTGTTGGTCCGTTCAGGTAGATAAACGCCTCAGGCTACATGGTCAAAGGAGCTCAACTAATAGCACGACGTAGCTGATTCCCCAGATCGTTATCAACTATCGCAGACATAATGCTACTGGACTCCAGCCAACTATGATGATGCTTTGGGCATGGGCTGGAGTCCCACTTGGAGTTTATAACATTGCAGAAGGATACAACATTGCGCTACGGATCCAGCCTCAGATCCTTACCATCCTGAGCCTAGTAACTTGGATCCAGTGCTACTACTACGAGAAGGTCAAAAGTTCTTCTCGAAGAGTATTCTCGAGTATGGCGGCTAACGTGTAACAGAGTTGGTCAGTTGTCCGCTCCCTCGCTGTTGTCATCCCGGTGGCTTGTTTGATGGGGGGCATTCAAGCTGGCCTCATTTTTGCTATTGAACATGCGAAGGCAGAGGGTCTTCACTGGCCCAGTATCCTTATGGCAGTTGCTTCAGCTACTCTACTTGCTGCTGGTGTCATGAGACATTACTGGGACATCTACGTCCACCGTACTGTCAGAGGTATCTCCTTCATATTCGTAGGCATCGATGCCCTAGGCGATCTCTTCTCCTTGGTGTCAGTCGTCTTCCAGCCAAGGCTTGATATTCTGGGCCTGGTCATCTATGGCACCGAACTGGTGCTTTGGATCGGAATTTTCGTTTGCGGAGCTTACTACAACCTCCCGACTTGGTACGCTGCAAAGAAAAAAGAGGAAAGAAGCAACCCGGGCGTGAGTGAGTCTGATGGAGGGGCGGTAGTCGCATCCGGCATTGCGCTCCACGGCCTGCCCTCCAGCACCTCTGTATTCAGGACGCCGTCGGGTGAAATTGAAGCTGTTCGACAACGCAGTGTGAGCTCAGTGCGTAGCGCCGGCTTGGAACACTTGCCGCGAAGAGTATAAGTAAAGTGTCGATTCAGCTATATTCAATCCATGGTCTTCGATTACATCTTTCACTCCATACACCGTTTGTACCCGCTAACCATCTACTGCATAGACAGTTCTGAACTGTGCGGCTACTTCCGTGTCTGCGTGAAGAGTCACGCGTTTGTTGCTTCGCGGTTCTCCAACTTTGGGTAGGCGCACGCACCTTCTCCACAAACGCTCCTCTCGCTCCCCACACTCGGATCTACTACAACCATCCGCGACTCCTCACGGTCTGATTCCACCGTCAATAATTACCGACCGCGTTAACATTATAATCAAGGGTCAGTTGCTCGTATAAGTAAGCTAGCTTGCACTCTCACCATCAACATCTTTTCACAACCTCGAACCCGGATTACTTATTCGACCTATTACAGAGCACGAATATCGCAGTAATACTAACAAGACCAAACAGTCAAATCGGGTTGTACTCCATCTCCGGTTCTTGACTCTGGTTCCACCATGACGTCCAACACTACTACCAAAGTCACCTCCCTGGATTCGCAATCCGATGGCCCGTCGGTGCCACACCCGACGCCGGCGACTGAACCTATAGGTAGTCCCTACGAGCCTGTCGACCCTCCTCCGGAGATGGATTACACGGCTGTCGCCAAAATCCTTGCTCCTATCCAGGAATCACTCAACGAGGCCGCCATGGAGGCAGCTTTCCCATCCCCACCCATCAACACGCCTGTATACGGCTCTCCGGCTCCATCCGTAGCGTATCGTTACCCATTGACCCGCGGTCGCGGCTTCAGTTTAATTGGCGATAGACTCGTGCAGCTGAAGCTCAATGACCGCAAGCTCCGCAATCGCGAAGGAGACGTGGGCTCGAGCAACTACTCGCCCGAGGCATCCATCGCCGAGGACGAAGAGGCCGATATTGCGAGCATCTCCGAGGTGCTGAGTGACAGTGGTAGGGACAAGCAAGGTTCCGGGCAAATTCGTAAGAATCTTGGTCCCATCGATATGAATGAGGACTCAGTACCTATTGCTCTAGGCTCCCCCGCCGTGAACCCGCGCATCGTCGAGTACCTGACTTTCACCTCTGATGACCTGCCCACGAATTCGGTCGCTCCTTGCTTTCCCTCTACGCTCATGAAGACGAGCACTGGGTCTCTCAAGACTGTCATCGAAGGAAGCGACCAGGCTAGCGAAAAGAGCAACGGTGTCACTGAAAAGAGCAACTGGGCTGAAGAGGTCGAAGAGGCTGTCGATCGCACTTGTCTCCGCCTTGAGCAGCTGGCTGATGACGAGTGGAAGAAGGACAACAGTAAGACCTTCGCCGAATACTATGTCGCTCGCCTCGAGCGCCTGCTCGGCAGCAACAAGCGGGTCGTTCCTGTCAGCATCAAGAAGAGCCAGGATGCAAGCGAGTAGGCCGTCGGAAAGTTTCAGCTTACGAGATTCTCATGAGTATGAACATGACTCATAAAAGGTGACGGCGTTCACGGTACGGGTAATGCTTTAGATGGCTTTCACGGTCTTAACGATTCGGTATCTCGGCAACGGCGACCATGGTTCTTTATACCCATCATTTCCTTCGTTCATGACTTACAAGTTTACGATGATGGTTTCTTCGATAGCAGGCTCAACAGTGGGGCCTGGCATAGCAGTAATGATAATGTATTTTGCTTTTATGAGGTAGTTGACCCTGCTGCGTGTGCGCCACAGAACCTACGCAAAACGGGAATACGAACCATTTCTCATACCAAGTCCCTGCAAAATTGCAACAACAGCCAGTGTAATGGCTGTAGGTTTATCGTTGCTCTTCCAGTAAGCCGCACCAGCAGCAGCTAGCATACCTGTCAAGATGCCTGCGATGCTCTTGTCGTACACATCGTAGATACCAGTAACCGACCATTTGTAATTGAGGATGCCTATAGAGACTTTTATTAAACGAGGAAGCGTAACAAAACGTCAAACATGGACTTACTCATCATCAGGAAGAAACCGCTACCTTCGTACCAACCGATCTTACTGGCACCGCGGAGCATGACTGGGAGGGTGTTCATCGTGGGGTGTTTGAACTGATCGAGACCTTTCATCTACAGTCAATGTTAGCATACTGTTATTCATAGGGAGCTCTGCGCCTACTGTATGGCCAATTGCCAAGATGGCGTAGGCAGCCGAGGAAGCCTGCAAGAGAGGGTGTGATTGGGAGGTTGCCGACGCCATCGTGTTAATCGCTATACTTGTACGACCAATCTACACGATGTCTGTAGTAGTGAATTGCAAACGAGCACTGAGGACAGGGAAGGAGGAATCTCTATGTTGTTGTTGTTGTTACAGGGACGCACATGTCACGATCGCGTCGTTGTGATGCTCAGGCTGGTTACCAGCCGAGGTCAGTATGAATTAGGACAGTCTTCCCCACTTTTTGCGGGTCCGCTCCAAGCTACTCTTTGCTTGTGTACCATACGCGCATACCCAGTCTCAGGCATACTTGTCTCTCCATGTAGTATCGTAGAATGCGGTTCCTGAAGCTGCGAGAAAGGTCTATGGCCTGAAGCTGATAAGATTGGCCAACTAATGATGTTCGACAATGAGGCTGATACTTTGCGCACCTTAACTTCTCAAAAGAGTCCCTTCATTCGAAACCACCATCGAAGCTATGGTTCGTCTTGCACTCTGACGCCAATCTACAAATTAGTTCCCTTCACATTACCACACAGAGCGCGCCCTTCCACTTGCTCGGCGTGTCCCCCTTCCTGATCACAATCTGCCTATCCCTGCCATGTAACCCTCTCTCATTCATCAGCTTCTCTCTTTCCTGCGGTGTTGGTCCTCCATGTTGGGGACACTTGTAATCGATCCATATGGTTCTGGTGGTTGATACGGTACAGCTCTCGTGACTCTCTTCAGCCTTTTTGCATTGTTGAAAATCTGCGGCGACGCAGAGGTCGTAGCCTTTGCGTTTGCAAGGGAGGTAACGGATCTTGTAAGTTGTGCACATCGTCTGTTGTAGCTGGGTTTTGTGCTGGGATGTTAATGTACAGAGTTGATACAGGTAGTCAGAAGAGTAGAGCTTGGATGTAGAGGGAGGACAGTGTAGGGTGGTCATAACATGCGATTCTTGTGAAGAGGGCGTAGTCGGAGACGAGTGAGTGCGTGGGCATACGTGTACGTATGTGTCGAAGCATCACCTGACAGGAAATAAGAAGAGGTTCTCACTATTTCATATGAGATATGTATTCCCTAACTCAGCCACCATAAGGGGAGAGAGAAGATGGGCTGACACCACCGAACGCTAAACCGTATAACCATACCCTGATGCCAATCTTAGTAGTATACAGAAGTACCCTGTCGGCTAGGGTCCGAAATGAAAACATCGCTTGAGATACAAAGGAAGCGGTATAGTACAAAATTGTCTAACCCAGAACGCCCAAGTTGGTGTATGTGTGCCTCATCGCTCTTCATATTCTCTTAGCTGGACGTAAATATCCAGAATCCTATGCTTGAGATGCGTGGTGTTACTCCACACCCAAATCGACCTTATATACCCTGTAAGAGTAACGCTTACGAGAGTCTAAGCTTCAATGATACTAAGCAAAGAGTCAAAAACATCGTCTTCTTCGCTTTCTTCGGCTAGCTGACGTTGCGCTTGTGCATACGCATGTCCTTCGGCATCACTATCCTCGGCTAACTGGCGTTGTGCAAACGCATGCAGTTCCGCGTCACTATCCTCTCCGTCGTCGCTCGAGAAGCATTTAATGCTTTCGTCTGCAGAACTTGCACTCATTTCAAAATCAGGCGCCGAGGCGCTATCATTGTCGCCGTCAGTGACACCGGGCCAGCTTTGCTCGCCCTCATCGTTGTCATCATCGGGTTCAGTATCGCCGCCGTTGTTGTAAGCATTGAAGCCAGGGCCGCCCACAAGAGGTCCCGAATGCGGCGTTGCGTATGCGAAAGGCGTTGACTTTCCTGCAACGGCAGCAGAGCGCTGACTTGGTCTGCTCATGACATCTGAGTTGGATCGCGGTAGGGCAGGCTGCGATGAGTAGAATGGTGAGGGTGGTTCTCGCGAGTGACGAGGAGTCGCATTCCATACTGGAACCTGCGCTGTCTCAGGCCGTGGGGAGGAGGAATTCGCAACACGGCGTCGCTTCAATCTCGTCATTGAAAGGCTAGGTGCATGTGAAATTGGCTGTGGGGCAGAAAATTGTTCTGCGGTAGAAGCATGGAGGCGGCGCTTTGACAAGCGGGATGGGTGGGTGTCGATGACTGAAGCAGAGACTGTGCGATTGCGATAGTATTGTGGGCGTTGTGGGTGGTTCTCGCTCAACGGAGAGATGGGCTGGGGTTGCTTATTTTTCAAAATCGAGTTGGGGGTAATCGATCTCCGCCAATTTCGTCCAGCAGGACGCATCGATAACTGAACTGACTGGTTGCTTCCAAAAGAGGAATGTACACTGGCAGGCGGCGCATCATATGTCTCAACAAACTGCCAGCATGCTTCTTTTGCATCAGCCTCTGGAACATGAGGCTGGCCATGTTCGTCGATGCCTTCCATCTGTGAGTCTTTGTCAGGTTGACAACGAGGTAACTGTCGCAGTTCCGGCCATGACTGTTCCATGACGACAAATTCGTTGCGGTCGACTTGCTGTGTATAAGCTTCGCGAACCGTCACGTATAACCTTTTCTTTCCGCCAGAGACTCTCATCATGACGCCCGCAGAAAGGAATTGAGCATTCCAGAGCGCGCTACTGGACATCTCAGCAGGCGTAAGAAATCGTAGCCGCGACTCTTTGATTACTTTTCGTAAAGGTATGTACGGCGCCCGAAGACCAGGGTACGCAGCAATCATAGGATTTTCGTCGCTGTCATCGTACTGCAGATAATCGAACACGTCGGAAAAGGCGTGTGACAAAGCCTCTTGGATGTCTTTGGCACTAGAACCTCTGAATGTGACATCCCGCACGAAACCCCTGCTTTGGAGTCGCTTGTAGACTAGATTGTTACTTCCACAGGCTTTTGGGAATAACCAGTCGTCCGTAGACCCTGAAGCCCAATTACTGATGTCTTGGCTACTCCATCCGTTCTCAGTCTGACCTGGCACGGAGTTTTTATTTGAGTTTCGGGTTACAGAATGGGGGCTAGAATCTGTATCGCGTCCGAGAAATGGTATAGTAATAGCCTTGGACGTCCGGGCTTGAGTCCACTCTTCGGAATTCTGTGTTGTCTTGGTTACATCATGCATTGGCTCTTCAGGCGAGAACCAGATGCCTTTCAGGTCAGGGCCCCATGGTAACAGGACGACTTCCACCTCCCAAGGTTGCAGCGATGTGGGTGGCGCTGCAGCTTCCAACACATTCAATCTGTCCTTGATGTTGTCAAGTTCCATCTCAGTATCCTTGCGATCCATGGCTGCGAGAACAAGGGCTGAAGAAGTGGTCGAGTCTACGGAGCCGAACGACGTCGTAACATTATCTACGCGCCTTCTGCCAAAAGAGCTGTTGCTAGATTGGTCATCCATGGCCTGATGCGTCCGTTCATGTTCGTCCAAACGATGCTCCACATCAATGAGCCTACCCTCATACATCTCCAAGGTCTGATTCAGATCTTCGGGCTGGACATAATTGAAGGATCCATTCTCCAGCAAATCCAGGCGGCTGCCAAGTTCCTGCATAGTGCTAGCTACGTTAGGTATGGAGTTTAACAGGTTGTGAAGAGGAGCAAGGTAGGAGACGAGCTTCTGGAGGCCTTGTGCAGGAGCCGATTGGAGGAGGGTTTGCAGCTGTTCCTGTGGCGTTGCAGGAGTGTTCTTTGGCAAGAGCTGAGTGGGAACCGTGGCATATGTCTGTCCTTCTGATGAGCCAGCGGATTGCTGTTGGATTTCCGAAGTTATCCGCTTCATTGCTTCAATCATATCTTTCCCATCCTGTACGGCCCGATCCGCAGCACTCAGATCTGGTGTGTTCCCAACACTTGGAGTAGCCACCTCGGTAGCGCTCTGTATGTAGTCGTCGGGATTGTAGGTATTCGGTATGGTGTCGCCGGGCTCGTCAGGCTGGAAGTTGCGGTTGAACTCGAAGACTTGCTCAAGAATGCCGCGCGATGGACTGATAATGTTTGCTTCATTTTGGACCGTGTGAGCCCTGTCTGGGGAGTTACTCGGCTCGTTGTAGGGCTTTCGCGGGGTATGAACGATGTTGATATCGTCGGGTATTGTCGGTGTGGGCGACTGCTGACGATTAATCCGATCCATGCTCTGCAGGTTCATCATAGAAAGACCAAGACCCGCCACCGTTTGGCGCGACTGATTTGCGCCATTCCTAGCTTCGTTGTTAGCCACTGGGCGCCGTTCATGAGATAGCAAGCAGACTGAAGGAATTCCAGGAAGGCCGCTCGTGCTGGTTTGTGAAGGAGTGTCCTGACTTTGTAGCAAGCGACTGAATGAGTTGGTGTGAGTAGACTGTTGCAAGAGTCGCTGACTGGGACTAGGCAGCTGGTGCATGCGCTCATTGTATTTGGCCTGGCCCCCTTCGGACAGAAGGTTGTCTTCCAATTGTCGCAAACCAGCATTCATGTCGCACGGCGCACGTGGCAGCGATTGGGCCCGCTCTTCACCTCTCACATGAAGCGATTGAAACGGCGCATTTGTCAAAGGCGCAGGTTTTTCTGGCGCACGCGATGCCCTCAAATGGAAGCAGGCATGGTGACCGCAAACACACCACGTTGAGCGCTCACTGCTAGGCCTGTGCTCAGCGCTCTCATCGTGCAGCTCAGCACTGAGCTTGTCCCAGAATTGATCACATCCGCACTGTCCTACATTCGCGTCGCGATAGTTGCATGGCCCGTCTGGAAGCGATCGTCTCGAAGGTGTTGGTGGTGGTAAGGGTATATAATTGCTTTGTCGCGTGATGTTTGGATTTGGGTCCACGAAACCCGCCATTGGTGTTGATAGCTGAGCATCCCGCAGAGGACGCGAAAAGTCTAAGAGTGAGACATGTCGCTGTTCCTGTCGAGGCTTCCCTCCCGTTAGCACGATTTCAGGAAAAGATGTTGGTGGGGC